GACATAGGTACGCTCCTTTTTATTATTGTCACCTGCATAAGCAATTATCCCACATCGAGTTCGCTAACGTTACTAGCTTAAACAAACGTAACATGCAACGTTAGCCTAATCCAAAATGCTCTACTACGGCTTACCTTTCATATCGTCAGCGCAGACTCTCCCATCGCGAATAATTGAAATTCTTTGTGGCAAACTGTGCAGAAGGCGAATCGTTGGGTTGATCCTCGTTTTAGCCACAGCTTGTATTTCTTTTCGGATAGCCAACGCTCGTTAAAACAGCAACCTCCTGGCATACTGTCATTCTCTCATTAGAATGCCCAGGTCACACAAAATAAAACACTTGCAGGTCGCGCGCATAGCGCGGGAAGGCCGGAGCGGAGCTGTTTTATGTAGAAGCGAAGCAACTAAGCTCGCTCCGACTTCTTTATTTTCTTTTAATCTAAAAAGCGAACTATTCAGTCAGACAGCAATTTATTGTAAAAGTAAAGCATTTACAATTTCAAGCACTTTATCTCAAATCCAAGCACCATTCCCAAAATTCAAGCACTTTTCAAGTCATGAAAACACCTCGTAAAAATTCAAGCATTTTCAAGGATTTCAAGCACCCGTACGAACCCTGCATGGGGTACTAAGTGCCGGCACTAAGTACGGCAAAGTACTTGGTGTGAAAGCGGCTATTATAGAGTGGTGTAGGAATGAGTCCTGAAACCCGGAGATGACTTAGCATTTTACAGCTTCGGCTTGTCTGAAAGTCAGTGGTTTTTTGAGCATATTTTTGGATAGATGCCTGAAATAATATCTGTGGTTAACACAAGCTGAAGCGACTTGAACCTTTTGTTCTGACATACAATATGTCAGTAAATACCCCACTAGTGAGTGTCTGAATGTTAAATGTGTGATAAAAATTGCGTTTTGTCACAACATCATCACGCATCAAACATTAGCCGCCTTTAGCTTAGCGTAGGTGATGCGCAGCCATGTGACTGTGATGTGTTTTAAGCTCTTTTTTTTTTTTTTTTTGTCGAGGAGCCCTTCGACTTCCAGGTCGGCCTACAACAACACGTCTTCACAGCACCGCTATATGAATGGACCACTTTAAAGATTGCCTCGGTCAGAGCCGTATTCAAGAAGAAGGATGACAGCGGTGAGTTCTTACTGTGATGGAGATCCCGAGCCCCTCATGGTCGTCTTTGGCCAGCACCACCTTCCTGATGGGGCCCACCCCCTGAGTCTTCTTCAACATGTTTGGATTCTGTAATCATATCAACACATTAAGCTCTGGAAGCACAGATGAAGGTATCCACGGTCCTGAGCGCTCTGTACTTTCCACTCACATGCCCCACAGGAGAGTGCAGGGGTTTCTTGGGGTCGTTGCGCCCCCTGCAGGCACGGATGACGGTCTTGTGGCGGTGCAGGTGGATCTCCGCCTCCAGCTGGTTCCACAGCTTGTCGTGGGCCGGCCCCTTCATGTCCCGGCCCAGCAACTGGATCTGCTGCACCCTGGAACACAGAGCAAGAGAGGAGGCTGTCAGTCCTTTCACTCAGGGTTATGTTTACTAGTAGGTGTGGTGTTTTGAGTCATGCTCCAGTTTCTTGAAGTTAATAAAAGATAATTGTTGGAATTCATGCCGATAATTCATTAATAATTTTATAATTTAATAAAAATCCTAAACTAGCAGCTTAGAGGAAGCAATACTTCCTGAACATAACGTAAGGAAACTCACATTTAGCAAGTACAGTGCACTACAGGCTGAACAACATGATGTGTATTAAAAGGACAGCTTACCTCCGATCTTCCAGAGGCCTTTTATCATTATTCCTTCAAAAACATTGACCCTAATTGAAATGTATTGTGTCAACAAATGTCACATAACTGTATAAGGTTAGTTGAAAGCAATAATATGAAGTTGAACCTAATGTTTTTTTATTTAAACTTAATATTATTGTTTCAACTAACGTAATACAGTTATGTGAAATCTCTTGACATAATACATTTAATTAAAGTCAACTTTTACCAGTTTGTCATGCATTGCATTATTGCAACACCTCATGTGTATTTGTTTCATCTCCTCCCAAAATCAAAATCAAAGTACATACTAGTATTTTTAAGTGCTGTCCATCAATTATAAAATGAATCGTGTTGATTACAATATTACCACGATTCATTTTCACTCATTGAATGTGTACCAGTTGAACTTGATTAGTCACTTTTTTCTAAAGTCACTAAAACCGGGTCACATGTCACGGCTGTGGGTCAGGAGATATAAGGTCCTCATCCAATAGGAAGGTTCGATTGCCAGCCTCTGCAGTCAACATGTCGATGAATCTTTGTGCAAGATACTAAACCCCAAATGGCTCCAGATGGCCAAAGGTGTGTGAGTGTGTGTGAGTTTCTCTGAGCAGGTGCACCTTGTACTGCAGACTCAGAGATGGAGGTATGAAGGGGGCTCCGTCAAACACTAGTTTTTAAAGGTAAGGTTGGCCCTGTATTTATCTATAGGTCATTAAAGGGAAATAGGCAACATCAACTTGAATTACAGTCAACGTAATGTTGAGTAAATTGGTTGTTCATGATGATTTGTTTGCACCATAAAAAGAGTGGAGGTCTTGCAGATTTTATTTTATAATAATTTATTTTTTTAAATGTCTTTGTCTGTATTTTCTCTTTGCACTAAATCAGTAACAAACAACACAATTGGATAATTATCCCTCCTTATTTATTGTTAGTGTACTCTGTAACCTGTAACTCAATGAGTTAATGGGTGTGTGTGGGTGGGTCAGGGACAGTGGTGGGATGGAAATGAAGATTAGAATTATCAGTGTGTGTGTGTGTGTGTGTGTGTGTGTGTGTGTGTGTGTGTGTGTGTGTGTGTGT